TGTCTGTCTGTCTCTCTCTCTCTCTCTCTCTCTCTCTCTCTCTCTCTCTATCTATCTAGAAACTGTGACATATTATACCCAAAAATTCTTCATACACTGGACTACCAGTAAAATTGATAAAAAATTTGGGACCAAAATTATTCATACTTATCTATACCTACCTATACCTATTATTCATATCTATCTATCTATCCCTCCGTCTGTCCTGTTTTCTCACCTTCAGTATATTTTCTTTGGCCTCTACTGTGAGCACCAGATAGAAGCTCTGTCCGTATATGAAGTCTCTGTCGAACACCAGCAGAAGTTCATCTTCAGGGTAGTCCTGCAGAAAATGAATAGAATTCCTTTCAGGGTCTCAACATTCTGAAACAGATCTTTAACCACTAGGCTACTCTAAACCAGCTCCATCTGCCGAGGTTTGGATCTTCTTCAGCTCAAGAATCGGTTCAGAATGTGTTTCTGAATCTTACCAGCACTAATTGTTTGATGGGGCTGAAGTCAGACACAGATGCTCTGGTTTTCATGTCCTGTATGATGTCTTCTTTTTTCAGCAGCTTGTAAGGATTTTCTCCGGTTAAATCCTCATCTGCCCGGCAACTAAACAGCTCCTGTGTGGCAGAGGTCAGGACCAGTGGGAAGATGTAGTCGGGATGATCTGTGAAGGGTGGAGTCACTGTGATCAGGTATATAATAATGAATATACAATTTGGGTGGTTGCCAGAGTGTTGCTATGCAGTTGCTAGAATGTTGTGTTTGGTTGAGAGGGAGTTTCTATGCTGTTGCTAGAGTGTTATGAGTGGTTATCAGGGGGTTGCTATGCAGTGTTGTGTTGTGGGTGGTTGCCAGGGGGTTGCTGCATAGTTTGGTTGCTAGAGTGTTGTGGATGGTTGCCAAAGGGTTGCTATGTAGCAAAGACTATAGAAATACAAAGACGGTTCACTCCTATACTTATGAATGGGAGAAACTGCAAAGCGCAATATGGCGGGATAGTCCCGCCTTCTAAATGAAAGAGCCAATCGTTGATTGGTAAAGTCATTGCATCACTGCAGTGGCTGTTAGAAGCTCCGGTTCCCATAGAAACCTGAGGCTGGACCGGCCGATGCGCAGTCATAAGCGCGTTGGAACTACGCATGCGCATTGGCTGGTCTAGCCTGAAAATAAGCTTTTTAAACACTATTTGAGCATAAGAAACAACATTCATGGGGCTGTTCATTTCAGCTGTTTTGTTGCTGGTTTGAAATATGTAATTTAATCGCGAGTTCAGCGAGCAGTTTTTGAGATTTCAGGATTCCCCCATTCATTTAGATAGGACTTGTTTGAGCTGCCCGGAGGCGTTGCAAATATGGCGGCCGAGTGAACGGACTTTCCTTGAAAGGGACTTTGTTTGTAGTTACTAGAATTTTGTAGGTGGTTGCCAGGGAGTTGCTATGCAGTTGCTAGAGTGTTGTAGGTTGTTGCTAGGGGGGTGCTATGCAGTTCCTAGAATGTTGTGGGTGGTTGCCAGGGAGTTGCTATGCAGTTGCTAGAGTGTTTTAGGTTGTTGCTAGGGGGGTGCTATGCAGTTCCTAGAATGTTGTGGGTGGTTGCCAGGCAGTTGCTATGCATTTGCTAGATTGTTGTGGGTGGTTGTCAGGGGATTTCTGTACAGCTGCTAAAGTGTTGTGGTTGCCAGAGGGTTGCTGTGCAGTCGTTAGAGTGTTGTGGGTGGTTGCCAGGTGGTTGCTATGTAGTCACTAGTGTGTTGTGGGTTGTTGCCAGGGGGTTGCTATGTAGTCACTAGTGTGTTGTGGGTTGTTGCCAGGGGGTTGCTATGCAGCCACTAAAGTGTTTTGGGTGGTTGCCAGGGGGTTTCTATGCAGTTGCTAGAGTGTTGTGGGTGGCTACTTTGTTGTGGGTGGCGAAATTCTCCAGTTGCTCTTTGTTTAATCTCAGCACTGATATTAAAGTGATCTCATTTGAGACTTCTTTGTTTTAAAGGCTAAGTTACAAATACATTATTGGGAGGTTGAGTACTGTATCCTAAAATGATTTGGAACATTTCCAGTATCCCGCATTGAGGGTTTTCACCCTTTTTGTCTTACAGGTATGACACGACCAAAAGCTCTCAGCCGTTTGTCCAGTGTTTTAACGACAGATGTGCTCTTGAATGAGTGTGTTATACAAACAGAGATATCAGCTTCCCTTCAGAGCGCTATCTGTGACGTAACTGAACCTGAAAGACTACCAATGGACGTGAGACCCGGCACACAGCATACAATGCTAACGAATAGTGACTGGGGCTGTCAAAATTCAACAAGGACAAAATGAGCAGTGTGAACTTTTTTGGGTCAACTATATCTATTCACATGTTTTATATTTTGTGTGTGTGACATCACAGGTTTGGACACCTGAGGGAAATCCAGACCTCATCAACACAATCTCTCTCAACAGGAACCAGCTGAGCATGTTGTAGCCGGTAATATCTGATACAAGCGACAGCATTCAGGTCATTTAATCCAGAGGAGCCGCTGGCGCTTTACTGCAATGGAAACTCATATGATTTTATAGCCCGTATAATTACATAATTGCACTTTCTCTACTAACCGAACACACGTGCCCTTTAGAAAACATGAAAAGGAAGCTGTCTGGGATATTGAACAAGCCCTGTTAGACTTCAATGAGGGTTTATGACTGTACAAGCCCAAACTTCACTGATAGAAGCAGTTTGTTATGATGCAGTAGCTTGTTCTGGCCAGAAGAGGTCAGGTAATGATTTTATCCCAATGCAAACACAAACAAAACACAAAAGGGTATCAAGATGCTTGCTTTTATGATGTGGTAACAAGTCCAAGCACTGCTGTAGCATCCTAATATATAGCCTACTAAAAAGTATGTATGTTGTATGAGTAGGACAAGTAGGGAAATTGGACTCTGAGAACAAAAGACGAGAGAAAGGAGGTCTGGCTACGTGCCTCCAGACATGTCGTTTGTATCTCAGTATCTTTAATCTGATCACAGCTCCTGGATGAATGGAAAAGAACGAGTGTATTCATGCTGGAAACAACCCAGAGATGCTCTAAACAGATCTGAGAATCTGATTATGACTGATTGTGGTACAAAAGACCCCAGTTGACATTGTAGGTGGTCTTCAGAGACAATAAAATAAAATGCTACAAACAAACAAAAAAAACGCTAAATATGACCCTTATAGGAGCAATATGAGACACTTACCAGGTTCTGATGCACCTTCATCTGCGGTGGGAAAATTATTCTCCTTTTTTTTATCTGCAAAAAAATGTAAGGCATTAGAAACCCGAAAGATGCTTTGGATACTGTGCAATGATTTAATGTTACATTAGGATTAAATCTTATTTGGACAGAATATCTGTACCTTTTCCCTTGATTTTACGGGCCTCTTTGCTCTTGGGTCTCTTTGAACTCATGTCTGCAGGTGGAAAAGAGATTTAATTCATATTATTGGCTCTATTCATCTGAAACGGAGTCTGTGTGTGCAATAGCTAGCATGCTCTTTCTTTTTCTGCAGTATGTGAATTTACTGAATGCATGGAATAGGCTGAATGACTTTTTTTTTTCAAATGCAATGTGCTCAAGGTTGTCAACATCACTTTCTATTGAGTCATTATTTGAGATGAACACAAATTTGGGTTAAAAATCCAATAGAATTAATTACGCAATTTTTTGTTGTTTTTATTGCTGAGATGAAAAAATTACCTTTGGGGAAAAAATAGATAATGTAGTATATTTGGAATCCAACCCCAAAAAAATACATGGGCGACATCTGGTGTTGAAAAGCAACACGACAAACAGTTGAATCTCACAGTCTTTTAAAACGTGTAACTTTAATCCTTATTATTTATATTTTAATTTTTAACATGACGGAAAAGTCGCAGATTACTAGATTATCTTAAAAAAGCAACCCAAACATTATTTATAAACTACTGTAAAATCATTAAACACAAAGCTGAGTTAAAAGTGACTTAATCTTAAAACTTAAAACAAAAGGTAGGCCTAATGTGTGTGAAAGGTAACAGTGATGGTTTCAGAAGATAATACCATGGTACTGAATGATTACAGTATTCATTTTATCATGATATAGCCTATTGAACGTCAAAGAATATTACACAACTTGTTTTTGTTTACGAACTTCTATCATAACATTAATGTCAACATTTCTGTCAATTCAAGCGTATAATATACAGATAAAATCCTAAAATATGTAAATACACACGCTAGCGAGATATAAAACTGTCCTACTGTAACATAACCATTCCAATGTTCCACATACAACCGTATTCATGTTTTTTAAAATATGATATCAGTATGATTCACAAATCTTACCTCTGATTAAGAGATTTATGGCGCTGTTATATAGAAAAAAAACAACTTTATTCCGACTAAACAGCGCGAACGGTATCCAAACATCCGGCATCACAGCCGGTTGCTATTGGTTTCAGAGGCGGGGATTCATTTGATTGACAGCCCGCGCACGCAATCCTCGCTTAGCCCCGCCCCCTTCACCTGCTCACCGTCAGCACAGAGCGCGTCTGATACACAACGCGGCAGTTTCCATTTGAAATGCACTTTAATTCGGATTGACTTCATGCGTTTGTGGACTTTATGGAAGTTAGTTGGGATTAAAGACATAAATGTGCTCTTCTGATGCCGACTTAAGCTCCTGATTGAGAGCTAATTGATGATTTAGACCTGCTGGTGAGTTACTGATGTGTGTTTCATTACTGCTGTTATGATTTTATTAAGTTTTCTGACAAAAAATACATTGAACAGCTGCATTAGGTTTGGGTTTTGCAGGTGATGTTTGATTATAAAACACATCAGATGCTCTTTAAATAAGAAAACACCTTAGGCTTGAGAAAAACCTGTTTACCTTGAGAAACTGGCATCACAAGGTGTAATTGTAGTTTGTGATGGCACAGGTGTGATGGAGTCACGTGAGAGTCATGTGACAGAACAGAATTACAGTCAGGAATGTGGGTCAATTCATCAGTGACATCTGATCTGGATTCAGTCCATCAGCCTTTGACAAGTGGAAGAGCCACATTACTGCACGTCTTTGATTTCTCTATTAATACTGTCAGGAGCTGCTCTCTTCACAGAAACACATTAATGAATATTTGCATCCTGATTTTGATTTTCAAGGGTATTTTTTTTTACTTTATGAGAGTTTTTCTTTTGTAGCCATTTAAAAATAGACGTAATGCCAGATGCATTTAGTTTTTAACCACATGTAACAGCATAAAAACATTTATGCTATTACCTTTAAAAACATAGCCTATAAAATATAGGCCTATGTATATTTTGTATATTTTATTAAATATAGCCTATGTATATTTTATGAAAATAATACAGAACATGTCATCATATATTTTGATGTATGTCAGATATATCTTGGTGAAACATAAATATAACTTATATTTAATAATAAGTAAATATAATAAATATAACACAGATCAAAAAAGTTCATCAAAGTTGTCCTAAGACAAGAGCGCTTTTTGGTTTTAAGTTTTAGGACAACTTTGATGAAAGGTTTTGATCCACTTCAAATGTTGAAATGTTGAAAAAATAAATATATATATATATATAATGTGTGTGTGTGTAATTGATTTTCAAAGGCTTTTGTACTTTTGTATTACTGAACTTTTTTCTAACCATATATAAAATGAAGATTGGGTTATGAATTTATGCCAAAACACTTGAGTGCAATCAGTTCATTGAAATAAATTCTCATTCTGGACAATTATGGCTGTTTAATGGCCTATAAAGGCAAAATGTAAAAACAAAAAAGACCTATAAAAGCAAATTTAATGCAAAAGCTGCTGTAAATAATGCACAAAATATTAATGTAACACTGTAAATGATCTTCTAGAATAGATAAAAACTTAAGACACAAGTTATGAAATAGACCTCATATATATATATATATATATAAACAAAAAAATGTAATTAAACTATTTTATTTTTACATTTTATGTTTCCACTGTAATTTTGTTTTAGTAATTTTATTGTGAGTTTTTTTTCTCATTTTTTAATTTAGATTAATTTAGAATAGATTTCTGTTAATTTTAGTACTGTAAGTTTTAACTTTTAACTATAATAACCCTGATCCATCCTCACTCCAATCTTAGATTCCAAGCATACAGACAAGTTTCCTAAGGTAAGAATATGTCTCCTAAACTAATAAATGTGAATGATGGGTTTTAAGGCAGATGATTGTGTTGGTTTTTCAGACATGGACGACTCCAGTGAGGCCTATTTATGCATAAACGATCCCAACGGCAACCGAGCCGTCCACTGGTCCGAATCCCACGCTCACCAGGAGCAGGAGAAGTTCAGGAGGAAGCTCAAGTATTTCTTCATGAACCCCTGTGACAAGTACAAAGCTCGCGGAAGAAAACCCTGGAAACTGATACTGCAGATCGTCAAAATCGCTGTGGTCACCATTCAGGTATCACCACAGGAGGAGGAATTACAGCCAGAAATGTTGGTCGAAACAGAATAAACTGGTGAAATTCAGACTGCTCTCTCTTTGTGTGTGTAGCTGGTGTTGTTTGGTCTCAGTAATCAGATGGTGGTTCAGTTTAAGGAGGAGAATCTGATGGCGTTCAGGCATCTGTTCCTGAAGAGCTTCACCGACAGCAGCACCGACACTTACTCCGTTTACACACAGCATGACGTTTACGCGCACATCGCCTACACCATGAAGCAGGTGAGTGTTCAGATGACGTGTGATTGATCTGAGATCTTTCTTCTGAAACTTATGGTTTTCTGGTGACCTGGTAGAAGAGTAACCAGACTCCAAATATACTTTGCAGAAGTGTATTTTAAATTGCATTTCATATATAACCAATTATATCTAAAAGTGCACAAAGCATTTGATTAAATTGCATAAATGTGATTAAAAGGTGTATATAAATATTTACATTTACAATACACTTAAGATGCAAAAAATGTATTTTAAAAATGTATTTTATATATGTTTGTTTATAAATGCACAAAAATGCATTTAAACAATGCATTTAAAAAAAACTGGTGTAGGATTTACCTTGAAACCATTTTTGCTTTGAATTTGCTAGTAAATTTTACAAATAATTACAGAGACCGCACACCTGAAGTAAAAAGACCGAAATAGAATTTTCTTGTAAAATTGTGTTCCAATGATCTTTGTTTTATTTACAACTTCGAAAAATCATTTTTTTTTGCATTGCATGTCACACCTAAATGTTTTTATTAAATCATGCACCAAAGATGCGAAATGTGCATTAATATTTATATTTAAAAGTGAACAAAAGATACAATGTAAAGTGCAAAAATATGCTAAATGTATTGTAAATGTCATGCTATATAAATAGTTATTTTTAAAAGTGCACAAAAGATGCAAAAATGCATATAAATATTTATATTCAAAGGTGTACAAAAGAACATTATAAATTGCACAAGTGTATATTAATTAGCATGTTATATAATATATAAATTATACATATCATGCCATTTTTATCATGTGTAGATCCTTAGATGCATATATGTAGATACTTAATGTCAAGGCTAAAGATATGTATCTTCAAACTGGCCTTTCAAAGTTTCTCCAAAAAACACAAACAGTTCAGAAAAGGTCCTATTTTGCCTCACAGTTTCTGATGTTGCCAAGCATAACGGTGGGCAACCATCAATATGAGAAGGAAGGTGATGTTTACACTCCGCTCACCATCTGCCAGCAGTTCTACCGCAACGGCAGCATCTCACCAGCCAACGAGACCTTTGACATTGATGCTCAGGTGGATGAAGGTGACGTATGTGTGTCATGATGACAGAAAACCTTGGCTTTGCAGTGGCGCTGCACATCTGATCTTGTGTTGCTTTCTTTCAGAGTGTTTGCAGATTTACCCAGTACCTCCCTTCTCAACTTTAACAACAAACCCGCTGAACTTTACTCTGCACTTTGAGAGGTGTGTCCTATATATCATATACTGTATGTTGTGTGACACAAATAATAACTAAGCAATGCAAATATTACACGTAACATTGTAGAGAGACCTTTTCTGTATCTTGTTGAATCAATTTGTGTTCTTCAGGTTATTGACAGTGACTGTAAATTTCACTCTGAAAGCCATTAACCTGGAGACGGTTGAGTATCACGAGCTTCCGGACTGTTATGTCTTCGACATTATGGTATGTCACATGACCTTTCAGTGCATTATGGGTCATCTATGACAGTTGTTTCCATTTCCTCTTATATTTTTAAACCTATGAGTGGGATGAAAAGGGAAGGATTCTCAGCTGGAAAAGTTTGCAGGTTTTTTCCCTGGCTGAACACGTGATCATCACCCTCTCATGACTTAACCGGTCAAATGTTTGGAATTACAATTTTGTAATGTTTTTCAAAGAAGTCTCTTCTGCTCACCAAAGCTGCATTTATTTGATCAAAAATGTTGTTATAATTGAGAACTGTTGTTACAATATAAAATAGCTGTTTTCTATGTGAATATCTGTTAAAATGTAATTTATTTCTGTGATGTGCAGCTGAATTTTCAGCATCATTACTCCAGTCTTCAGTGTCACATGATCTTCAGAAATCATAATAATATGCTGATTTGCTGCTCAAGAAACATTTCTGATTATTATCAATGTTGAAAACAGTTGTGCTGCCCAATATTTTTTTGGAAACTGAGATACATTTTATTTTTCAGGATTCACAGATGAATAGAAAGTTCAAAAGAACAGCATTTATTTGAAATAGAGATCTTTTGAAACATTGTAAATGTCTTTACTGCCACTTCCAATCAATTTAATGCATCCTTGATATAATTTTTTTATTATTATTATTCTTGAGCAGCATATTAGAGTGATTTCTGAAGGATCATGTGACGCTGAAGACTGGAGTAATGATGCTGAAAATTCAGCTTTGATCACAGGAATAAATTGCATTTTAATATATATTCACACAGAAAACAGCTAATTTAAATTGCAATAATATTTCACAATATTTTACTGTATTTTTGATCGAAAAAATGCAGCCTTGGTGAGCAGAAGAGGCTTCTTTTAGAAACATCAAACCTTACAGACCCCAAGCTTCTGACTGGTAGTGTCAGATAAAGTGACAGGCAAAAGTCAAAGATAAAGCTATAAATTATTTATTTCCATGAGCAGATCACCTTTGACAACAAGGCCCACAGCGGTAGAATCACGATCGACCTGGACAATGACGTGCACATCTATGAATGCAGAGACTGGAGTGTGACTGGAGCATGTGAGTGTTTCTCATGAGTCCCTCTAAGAGTCATTTCTGTTGTGCAAAACCCTTAATCTTTTACTTTTAATAAATGAGTATGCGTGTTGTCATTTAAGGAAGTATTTCTATAAACCGTTCTATAGCAGACTTGCAGAAATGTGCTTCGGTCAAGATGCTTCTGCTTTAATAATCATGACTTGATTTACATAATGACAAGAAAATGAACAGGATGGAAAGAGTTAAAGAGCTTGTGATTTAACGTGACAAAAATTAACATTCGCTCCAACCGAACAAGTGTAATGAAAAATGTATTTGATTGTGATCAGAAATCTGACTAATAGCATTGTGATCTTAATGCAAGACAGCACAGGTGAATAGTGTAAAAAATTTAACAAATAAATATCATCTACTTCTCCAGCTGATTGATTATTTTAAGAATTGCAAAAAAAATTTTTATTACAAGTTTTCTGAAATGTTATGTTTAAATAAATATGCAAACGAGGCATTTTTTTATTAAATATTCACTAAACTGCATAAAATTCCAGAAGATAAATCTGAACATCGGTTAAAGCCAGGTTCTAAATTCTTGTTTGATTTTGTTGACGTATTAGAGTTAAAGGTTTTTACAGAAGGGAATTTGGATTTCTCTTTTTATCACTCCATAAATAAGAAAATACTGTCAACAGCCAGAAAAATACATTTTCACAATGTTTTTAGGAATAAAATATTATATAAATCATTGTGAATGATATATGAACAAACCCCTCAGTAAAATCCTTCAGAATATAGAGAGGAATAAAACTGTAAAGTTTGGTGTATGTAAGTGCTGCTGAAGTGGAGAAAAAACCTTTAAAGATATGTATTGTAATTGAAATCTACAGATGCAAATAGATAAAGTGTAAAAAGAAAACCAGATGAATGATACATGAACAAAACCTTCAGTAAAACCCTTCATAATATAGAGAGGAATAAAACTGTAAAGTTTGGTGTATGTAAGTGCTGCTGAA